GTATTTATTTTTTTACAATAAGCTGGAATGAAAACAAGCAAAAATGAAATAAAAGTAAAGACTTTCTACTTCTTGCCTTTTTAAAAATGTAAGGAAGAGAAGTAAAAAGTACGCTGAAAAATAATTACTCAAGTAAAGTACAGATACCCAAAAATTCTACTTAAGTACACTAAAKAAGTATTTGTACTTAGTTACTTTACAACTCTGGATAAAACACACRCCTACCATGGAGTAGATACCCACGGATGACAAAACCTGAGATAATACGCAACAGAAAAGCTGAGCTATATTACACATGTGCAAGCTTTCAATCAATAAATGATGCAATAAATGATCTGCTTCAAAACTTTCAAATATGACATAATGTGTGTTTAATTTATCAATACACATAATACAATAAACAATAATTTCAAAAGCCCTGGAGCAAGTTTGTTCTTTCCTATCTATACTGTAGAAATTGCAGTCTATATAGTGACATAAATGCACAGGCATTTGTTTAATTTAAAATCAAAACTCCATAAACAGCAAAGCCAAATTAAAAACTTTATAAACCAAGAAGAGAAAAAAACTGGGTCACATTACCCRCAACAAACTAATTAAAACCCAGAGGACTGAAACAATTGTGGAGTCTGGGGTTCATTAAGCCTGTTTATGAGAGGATTTAAAAYGTGTTTGTCACTTCTCTGCCTGCTATTAGTTGGTTGTTTAGTCACCTCAGCTTCCAGAAATGTGTGATGTGGGGATTTTACTTCACAATTAAACAAAAGATGTAAGAACTGACAGCTGGAGAGAATTTATTTTTGATGATCGTACTTAAGGTTTCAAATACTTTGGACAGTCTTACAGTCTGGCCATCTCCTTTTTGGGAGTTTATACATCATAAGTCTTATGTTTTATTAGTCATCTTTATGGCAACACAAGATTACACTACATGACCTTGATAAATAAGAACTTRGCAGACATCTAGCCATAACTATGTCACACCGGTTTTTAGCCTCAGTCACCYATTCCAACAACTCTTGAAGAAACATTAAAGCTGTTAGGATTAAAACTGCCTTAAACCATTTATATATATGTTTAAATCTTAAACCAACCCGAGGAACAAACAGCACACATGCAGTGAAACATTATTTCATTAATCGAGGGCTGAAAAGCACACGACTTCCTTTTATAAAAGTAAGAAAGCTCCCAGTTGCAGGTTGTAGCTGATGCTGCAGTAAAGAGCCCAGGTTGGCTGAAAGCAGTAATGAGCCATGGCTTGTTCAGCACTTACCTGGCCACCAGAAAAAATAACGGGGGTGGAGGCGGGCTTTGGGCGGTAAGGGATCGTGGCACCTTTGGGTGGGGACTAGAAGAAACAGCAAAGAAGCAAAGCGTCAAACTGCTTTATCAGCAGCACTTCTGCTTTTTGTCTGTAAGTTTGCTATTTTGTAAGATATGAAGAACTTTTAGGATGACTTTATCTAATGAAAAACTACTAGCTTGACTAGATTTAAAAGGTCAGCACATTTGCATGCAGTCATGTCTTATCTGTTAGCAAAATAACTCATAAAAGTGGATGCATTTTATTAAAACTCCCAGAAATTAATCACTGAGTGCTACCAGATTTTGTGACTTCGTTAAACATTTGGCATACAWGGTGTACAATGTGTATTYCTTCAAGAAATGCTAGTTTCAGTCTTAAATATCGTAAAATATTGTTAAATGTATCACTTTTCCACAGTCCACACACACGTTACCTCCAGCATGACCACACAGACTTGTTTGACACACTGGATGATGGCTTCGGGGGTCCCAGAGATTGTCACTGCGCGCTCTGTGGAGTTGGGAAGCATGTCCCCTGCCACTTGAACTTGGGCCCCTGTTGACTGCAGGAGAGTAAAAGACAACCAGAACAATTCTTATTAAAGGGTTAGCCACGTGCCCTCCAAAACAGCTAAAATGTAGCTCTTTTTTTTATTTCATAATGAAGCATAAGTTTGATGAACAAAGCAGAAAGAAGTTGAAATAGCCACCAACTTGTTATTTTAGCTAAAAAAGCTAACTTTAACCAATGACAGCTAAACATTAGCTATAATGGCTGCAAATAGCTAAATATGGCAGAAAACCACTGTAAGAAGCAGAAATAGCTCAAATTAGCAGAAAAAAGCAAAAGAGGTTAAAAAAGCAGAATAGCATTTTTAGCTAAAATGTAAGAAAAAAAGCTAAAATTATTAAAGAAGCAAAAAGTCAGCACAAAGAAGTTAGAAAAAGCAGAACCTTGATGAAGGTGTAAAATTCATTAAAGGTTTATAAACATTTTTCAAGAGTTTCAGGGATGTTGAAAACAGCTTTATTCATTTTCAATGAGAAAAACTGTCTGAAAAAGACATCCATCCAATAGGCGGCCATCTTGGATTTTATTTTTCAGCTTTAGTTTGTGACAGAGCTTGCTCTCAGCTACCAATATACCATTTTTTAGCTCAGTAGATCTTTGGCTGAAAATTGGCTGAATTAAAGAAGTTTGAAATTAGCTTTGGTGGCCATCTTGGATTTTATTTATTTTTGGCTACTATTTGCGAWAGAGCTTACTCGGCTAACAGTACATCAGTTTTTAGCTCATTATATAGAAGATTGGATGAATTAATATGAAACAATGTATGTAAATGTGTACTCATACAAAATGATATCTAACAGGGATTTGATTTTGTTTTTTGCTTGTAGATCATTATTGTTACATTGTCACATTTATTTTTTTGAGAAAAAAGGTGCAGATATTATAAGATTTTTTTCTTCTTTCTGTTGCCTTTCATTTTATTTTTGTGATTTGTGTTTTTTATTGTATAAATTTTGTTGTTTTTAAAAGAAATGAAATTAATAAACGTATAAATAAATAAAAAAATAAAAATTAGAGCCTTTTTTAAAATTTGCATTAGCAGTTAGGTCAAACTTGTGATTAGTATTTAGAATGTGTTGAGTTAGCTCTCAGCTATCAACCAACCTAATTTGTGTTTTGTGTGTCTTAAAACAGCTGAGGGTGCCATGTTGAATTACACAAAGCTGCTGCCTTCCTCTGCTCTCTTATTCAGTTGAACAGGCAAGCCCTGATAAGGGATAAAAAATCCTGTTTGCAGGATTATTCTGTAAATCGTGAAGAACAAGCTCTGCCGTGCAGCGCTATGATCTCTGACATCTGAAGGAACACTGTACCCTGTCAACACTCTACTCAAATTACCTGATAAATATAAGCTCTGTTCTTGTAATATTGCCCCTGAAAGATCATCATGATAATTAGGATGTTTGCACCGGCCTCATCTGTGGTTTGACCCTCAGCTGGGACATCTRGGGTAACACGTTGCCTTCAAGACATTTCTTTTGGCACCTCACGCCCTGTTGTGGTYCTTTTTTCTCAGGTCCCATCTGCTGACATTAACCCGAGGGCCACATGTGAAACACKCTCCGGTTCCATTCTAACAACAACAGTCTATTTAAACAGGAAGTTGGAGTTTATTGTGGTTATTAAGCTGGCAGCAAACATTGGTATACCTCCCCCTGGCTGTCACTTAGTAGGGATGTTGATTTTCATTTTTAATTAGTCGCACTTGCTCCGTGGCTTCAGAGTGACATTTTTTWAATTACTGGGTGAGTACCTGCGATGCAGACTGGAACAACTCAGTAATTTGTGGACAAGAGAACAAAACATAATCTGAACTTTCCTGTCACTGACACCGTTGAAAAGCTGACATTTAGGAGAATGTCTCAAAAACATCATTTGGACGGCTGATATGCATAATTGTAAAGGTGGACGGCTGTCGTAAAAAAAGCAGCAATAATTGAACTCATTGTGCAGCTTTGTTGCACATCTCTTACTTTCAATAACTTATGCCAAACAAAGTCCAAATAATGATTATAACTCATGAAATCCTGCATTTACAATTTCAAACATTGTAACTCAACTAATCTCAAATATACCTATGCAGTGAAAATACTATTTAGCTCCATATATTGTCGTAATAAAGGCTGATTTTCTACATTAAACATTGTTTGGATATGCATGAGAAATACTGGTTTTACCTCTCTCATCTCTTTGATCTTGGAGCCTCCTTTCCCGATGAGAGACCCACACTGGCTGGCTGGGACGACCAGCCTTAACGTGACAGGGGGCTTGCTGGTTGCAGGGCTGTTACTCATGGAATTGATTATGTCCTGGAAAACAACAAATGATAAATTATGGAGCAGGAATATGTGACCCAAAACATTCATGATGCTTAATTGCTTTGGTAGCAACGTTAAAAAAAAAATCCGCTGATAAACATAAAGTTGGTGCAAATTATCGAAAACCTAAAACCACACTGACATTTTCCATTTGTTGTATGAGCTGAAGGCGCTCTAGTTTTTGGGAAAACATAAAAAAATCAATATTTGCTACGCTTCACACAAGTTACTGAGGACACAAGTTGGCGTCCTTGTTTCAGTAATGTTTTTCTGTGTATTTTCAGATCTCTAAATAGAAGTGTTTCTGAAAACTTTTAAAAGTTGATGTTGAATAACTTGCATTGACCAGGCTTGTAAAAAAAAAAGTGCCACAAACTGATGGACATTTAAAACAAGTTTAATGAACTAACATTCTGCAGATCGTCTGCATGCTGTTTTTGTTCTGTTTTATTTTGTGATGTCGTTTCTGTGTTTCTGTTCATCCTGTGTCCGTGTGCAATGCATCAAAAAGACTGTCTAGGCCCTCCTCTTTTGATTGACACCTCATTTGACCAGCTTGGTTCAAGTATCGGCTGTCCAGAGCCAATAATACAGTATATCAGAAGTGACCAACTTCCGGTTTCCATCATCCTGGGCTTTATTGACTGTAGATTGGGCCACTCAGCTCCGAGCTTTATTCTGATGCCACAGCTGTRTAGCCAATYACCATACTTTTCATTTGGTGTGTATTGAGKGGGGTGGGAACTTTGTTTAGTGACGGACGAGGTTAATAATTAGGAGGTCGCCATATTTAGGCAGTATTGCTATGCTAACGAAGGAAGCCATGCTCACAGGAAAATGTTTTTTTTCCATCGTTTTTTGGCCAGTTAGCTGAATAAACCTGATAAGATGAAAATATATTTGTTATTAAGTGTTTCGAGTGCTTCAAGACATGGAAGAGTGATTTTTTGTGGCCAGGAGAACTAAAAATATTTGGATAAAAACACTTCCGGTCGGCCATTTTGATCGCTAATTTCGTCATATTTGAGGACAAATATGCATCAAATGTGAGTGAAAAACAAATATTTTTTCGCTTCTGGTAACAGCTTTGGTGACTCATCATACCTCCTCAAATTTATAGGCGATCATAGCAAAAGCCTTAAATATGGTGTCTGTAGGTCCAGTGATGGTGACAATCCTCTCTGGACAGTTGCCTTCAGAAATGTTGATACGTGCTCCACTCTGGGGGAAAAAAAAACAACAACACGGTAAGTTTAATGCAGTCAACATAGGAGACATTTTACCGTAATCTGAGAAAAGATTGTATTAAATTTAAATAATCTCTTTTGGGTAAACCTGTATGGTGTGGTATGACGGCCAAAGACTATTGCCATAAATATTATTAAAGAAACTCACCTCTTCTCGCATCTTTTTTACAGTTTCTCCTTTCTGAAAACACAAAAACAAAACCGGCGATATTAAATATAACWATTTTCTGTAGATGTGTTTAACTTTATGTTTGTTATCAGGAGGGAAATACATAAAATACATACCTTACCAATAATACTTCCCACCTCCTGCAAACAAAACAGTTCAAAAATGTAATTAAAAAATATAATGACACAAACACTACTATCCCAGGCCTGTTTATGGTGCTTTAATGCTGCCACAAAAATACACCAGAAACAGGAAAGAAGAGAAGAGAAAAAGCTCCAAATGAGAGAAAAGTTTTTTTAAATCCATCTTGTCTTAGTTTCAGGGATAAAGAAACCTGAACATTTAGGGCCAAATAGTTATAGGCCAAGGAGTGAATCACATTTCCAGATTACATGTTGCTGAATTGTCTCTCTCTCTCTCTCTCTCTCTCTCTCTCTCTCTCTCTCTCTCTCTCTCTCTCTCTCTCTC